GTATGACTGGTTTTTCAAAATGTTCCCTTTTTCAGCTCCTAATTCAATATTATGTCATATTTTCTTGAGAATACCTATTGAATTTGAATACTTTTGTCATTTTGAATAAGAAAAGTAAAGCACATAACTATTTCAAAAACATGTTTGGAGAGGGTAGCTTCCAGGTATAGCTAAAGACGCTAATTGACTGAAATCATTATCAACCTAATCATGTAATCTACCTGTTACTTTCAATTTTGCCAAAGAATATTGCCTCGTTTAGGATCATATAAAACAGATGAGTTCAGTTTTAACTGAATCATGATGATAACATTTTTTTTCTTTTTTTAACAAATTATTCTCTGATTATAATTACCAAATGCAAAGTTGACATTGGACAGTTGTTTCTGTAGCTAAGATGTATAAAATGAAAACAACACTTTATAAATTTGGTGTGTCTGAAGCACTTTTCTTGACATATCTTAATCAAGAACGATAAGAGTTAACCAGATAAAGTCGTGAATTAATAAAGGCTTAAATAGTTGGCTGATCATCTTCGGCACAGGACATTTAAACAAAAAGGATGTAAAACATATTTTGAAAGGAAGCAGCGTGTTTGACTGACACTACTATAGCTATTGTCGCCAATCATCATTAGTCACACACACTGACACTAGTATAGCTATTGTCTCCAATCATCATTAATCACACACACTGACACTAGTATAGCTATTGTCTCCAATCATCATTAGTCACACACACTGACACTAGTATAGCTATTGTCTCCAATCATCATTAGTCACACACACTGACACTAGTATAGCTATTTCTTCTAATCATCATTAGTCACACACACTGACACTAGTATAGCTATTGCTTCTAATCATCATTAGTCACACACACTGACACTAGTATACCTATTGCTTCTAGTCATCATTAGTCATACACACTGACACTAGTATAGCTATTGCTTCTAGTCATCATTAGTCAGACACACTGACACTAGTATACCTATTGCTTCTAATCATCATTAGTCACACACAATTTGACCAAATCCTGGTTTACTTTTCATGAGTTTTACAAAACAAAATGTTCCACTTTCCGTATGCAAAGGTGTCCGTACACAATTAAATGAGTGTTTTTGATAATACATAACCAGGCATTGTAGAGCATTGTAGAGCATTGTAGAGCATTGATTTAAGACAAATAGATAAATCTAGGATGTTTTTTTAAGAATTGTCGGCATTCATGTAAGTGTAACAATTCTAACTTTAATACCAACGTTGGTCTAAAACCGGTTCATTCAAATGTTCCTATATGTGACCCGCCACGACATTTCCATGCTTATGGCGGTAGGACGTCATTGTGAGAAAAAATGCCGTTACTATATGAGACTAGCCACTTCCAGGCTTATGAGGGTACCTTGTCTAAAATTTTCTTTTTGTATATTTACTTTCATGTTATTATGACCTATTTGTTGTAATAACAATGAAACGAGTCTTTTTGAATACCGGCATGATGATGAGACTGTTCGATGACGACTTTTTATTATCGAAATTATTGTATGTAATCTCCAACATCGTATTTGAATAAATATATCAAACGAACTAAATTTACTACAATACAAACAGTTCTTATTTCTATTTTAGAAAATGTAATTTAAACTTGTTGAAATGAAGTTAGTATAAAATTTGTCCAAGAAAGCTTTAAGAATTTTTTTTTTGTAATTTGTCTTCAACTTAAAATTATGATGCATGTCTCTATACATAGTATGCGACGCGTGACAGTTTATAAGTAGTTGTTCTCATAGATGCATGTTATACGGTGCATTTATTATGGGTATATTTTAGACTCCATTTATGAAAATCTTTAGAGCAGAGAATTTTTGATTTTTTTGTATCAAATTAAAATATTTTTCACTTCAAATGATAACGTAAAACTTCTTCAGAACTTATGTATGATGAATAGTTCAGTGCCAGTAAAATGAAGCCAAGGTAAAGTGTTCATCTCTTCTTCAAAAATACTTATTATTTTGAATCTCGATATATATCATGTTTATAATAGTTAACGGCGTTTTTCTAACAATGACGTTCTATCTACATAAACCTGGAAATGGCATGGCGGGTCACATATCTGATCCCTTAAAGGGGCATGAGCTGTCAAATTCATTTTCACCGTTTTGACTCAAATTCTCATATTTGATTTATAGCATACTAAAACGTATATCCAAATTATAAAAAGCCTAAAATAAGCAATTTACGATGCATGGACTCAATAATATGTATCAGCATTTCGCGTGTATTTTAGTCTAGACGCCATCTAATTAACCATCGAGGCGACCTCCAAAGACTGCTGACGGTCATATAACCCGATATAAACATAAATATAGACAGCTAACACGTACAATTGAATTTTTCTAAGTCTGTTCGATTTGATATTAAAGGTTAAACAAATATGCTAATCATCGTTTTTACTTGTATAAGAATGGGTTTTTGTAGATCGAATCAGTCAGCCAAATGGTTTACCCTTGTTTCATTTACAATGTTGACATTCTTTTCCTTTTAATATCTGAACACGCCTATAGTTTTTGCATCTCTAGCTAAAGGGTTAAATTGAAGGTCACATGAACGGGCTAACGGGCAGCTAAAAGCAAATTATTATTTCACTATTTCACTTTCATTAATGATTGAACAAAAAAAAACATATTTTATTTTTTTTTTCATATCTCGTAGCTAATGCCCCTTTAAATTGAATATATCTAACCGGTATATATCTACCATGATTAACATTGTAACCACATAAAAGGAAATTTAATAATATTTTATCCCATTTTGATAACATTGAAACAGATTGACCACATGTGCTCAAACGCAATAATTTTTCCTTACACATGAATGAAACAAATGTATTTCATAGAAAGCTTGATATCTGTATCGTAGTGGCCTTACCTTCAAAACCTCCAGACTTGTGTGAACATTTATATATTAACTGTAGTTCAGAAAGCAAGAATTTAATATGTGATCTTCAGCTCAACCATTCCCCTGGATTGACTTTTTGATTTTTGTTATGAAGTTGATCTTGTCCGCTGTAATTGAAATATTCTATGCATATTGGAAAGACAAACGGATACAGATTTTCTGCTTGGTGGAGGAAGGATGAGTTTGTTTTCAGTAACGTTATCTCCCATGGCGAGTTTCGTGTCCACTCAGTCCTAGGGGTGCCCACAGAAAAATTTCATAACGTCACTTTGTATTCGATGATTTCACTCTCTAACATATTTTACGTTTCCATTTGATTTCATTGTATATTGTCTGTATTACTGGAAATAACGAGTGCGAATGAGGTAAAACGTTTCAAATGACAAAGTTGACAAACACTGTCATAAATCATACACCACTGTAATTCCCTGGTTTTGCATATAAAAACAATTATTGAGCTGGTAAAATTCAGGACTGATGACAAATGAGCATAATCTATTTTACTATATGCTTTAATATTTTACGTAATTAATAACATTTCAATAATTCGTGGAAATATTCCCTTACAATGTAAAAAAAAAGGAGACCAATGAACTTTTTAGCATTGACTAAAGATCATATTTTATTTATTTGTATATCGTACTTTATGACTGATAAAGGTTTGCTTGACAACATCAGACTCTTGTCTCAGTATTTTAATTGAGAGTGTATATCTTTGATTATTATAATATAAAGTAGTTTCAAGATGTTGCGGTAAAACGGTAAATGTTTTATTAAAGATTTCGAGTAAAAGGATTTGTTGGCTTATGTCAATGTTTTTTTTTTAGATTCCAGTGGCAAATAGTTCGACTCTCTATCATTTTGTTAGTTTTGTGTCGAATCCTTATATCGGTATTAGGGGCCTCGGTGGACGAGTGGTTTAAGTAGTTACTACTGTAATCACTAGCCAGTCAACACTGAGGTTATTAGTTCGAACCCTGCTCGTGCGGGTGCACTCGACTCCAATCTTAATTGACTAGGATTGTCAGTTTTCCTATCGAAGGGCGGTGGTATTCTCCGGGCACTCCGGCTTCCTCCACCAATAAAAACTGGCCGCCACGAAATAGCCCAAAAGCGGTGCTTAAAAGTGGCGTTAAAACACCAAAAATCAAAAATCAAATTATATCGGTATTATGTCAAGTCAGTGCATTGTTTCTTTATTAAAACTTCAATATAAAACAATTATGTACTCATTAAGTGTTACCATATGTTTTATATACATATAAAAATAAGAAGATGTGGCATAATTGCCAATGAGACAACTCTCCACAAGAGACCAAATGATACAAAAATTAACAACTATAGGCCACCGCACGACCTTCAACAATGAGCAAAGCACATGCCGCATAAACAGCTATAAAAGGCCCCGAAATGACAATTGCAAAACAATTCAAACGAGGAAACTAACGGCCTAATTTATGTACAAAGTGATGAACGAAAAACAAATATATTACACAGCAACAAATGACAACCACTGAATTACAGGCTCATGACTTCGGACAGGCACATACAGAATGTGGCGGGGTTAAATAAGTTTGAAGGCGCCAACCCTCCCCTAACCTGGGACAGTGGTGTAACAGTTCAATATAAGAACAAACTATAAAAATCAGTTGAAAAAGGCTTAACTCATCAAATGGATACAAATAGAAATACATCTAACAAAAACACAGAGTGGACGTAGCAGGGTACTTATACATCCCCTCAACAAATAGACACTAAGTAAAGATCTGAGATTACTAGCAGTTACTGACATGTATATCTATAGAACTGGTTTTTAAGGTCGACACTTTAAAGGGTCTTTTACATTGGTGGAGAAAGATTGTTACGTTTCAAGTTTGTCTTGTTGATATCGGTCGAAATGAGTGTGTCTCATTACCGAATGAAACATCAACAATTAGGAAATAACTATATAAATTATATAATTTTATCAACAAAGAAGAAAAAAACGAAAACCCCGGCTTAATTTTTTTTAGGTAACAATAAGTGTTTCTCTGTTTTTTTCAGTACCTGGAGATGAGATTTAACAAACTAGTAAGAATTATTGGTTGCCTAGTTTTTCAGCTACAAATGGTAAGTGTTAACAATATATAAATGTACCAATAGAAAAGAAAGGATATGGGTATCCATTCAGGACACAAAATCAGTACATGCACAGTAAAACATACAAAAAGCAAAGGAACAGCGCTTTTATTGCTGTTCTTCTTTTCAAAGTCACAGTCACATTTTCAACACTGAGCACAAACTCTCACTAGCTTACAATAGTTTGACAAAATGAATATAAACTATTTCCTCGCATGTATTTCATATTTTTGTTAATATTAATGACAAATCATTGAAAGAATAAAAAGATGCATATATTGTCAAAGTTAGTGATAACTAAATGCTTTTCACATGGTTTTTATTTACAGAAATATTCGAAGTTGCATAATTTAATACATTTTGTATTCGCATTTTTCCGTTCGCAAAAATAAATGCATATAGTCTCCAATGTAACACACAAATTGATTTTTTTTATTAGATTTAATATTGAAATGACCATTTTTATTTTTACTTCTTTCTGTATTTTCTCTTTCTGAGATTTCTTTGCAATCTGCTATTCTCAGTTTCTTACTTGTCTTTTTTTATTGCATTGTCGTAAGATATCCGGGCTTGTACTTGTAAAATTTTCCGTGTCATATTTTCATATTTATATCTCTTTGTGGCATATGTTGTGATTTTGCGTTTTTTTTTTTTTTAATATAATTTATCCTTGCTTTTTTCTCATTTTTTGTTATTTTCCAATTACGGTAATACCTTAGGTTTTGTGCTAAAGCAAAATGTACTCGAAACCAATTGATTAGTTGAATGATCCCGAAATATTTTTTTTTTAGATCTCATTTAAAAAGATCAAATTTATTTTTGTATTATAGTTTGTTTTAAACAATTGACTCGTATTGTAATTTATGTTTAATTGCCAAAACTTTAACTTCTGTGAACGTTCATTTACACCATGCTGTCGTTGTAGGAAGTTGGATACCCTGCATTCATCAAGCTTATCAATAACATATGGTCAAATCACTGAAAAGACCCCCTCCTAAATTATTGAAAACTATATACATGTATATCATTCTGCATTGACATTAACATCTTGCTGTATCTTGGCTAATGCCCCCATAGATGTATCTAATACATATATTTATAGGATTTAAACTGGGGGAATCATAGTATACATTTATAGATCATGACCATGACATTACTTACGTCGTTTTGCGGACAAACTGGATATATTTTTGAATATGACCCGAGAATCGTTTAGTTTGATGAACGAAAAATGTAACTATGTACTTTTGCTAACAATCTCCACCTTCTTTTATCTAACAATGCTTGTTAACTTTTTTGATTCGAGCGTCACTGATGAGTCTTTTGTAGACGAAACACGCGTCAGGCGTACAAAATTATAAGCCTGGTATCTTTGAGGAAAAAAATAAGAAGATGTGGTATGATTGCCAATTAGACAATTCTCCACCAGAGATTAAATGACGTTTTAATTGATATACATGTATACAGTCGATCGAAATCGCGATTAAAAAAAAATGTTAACGTTTTTACAGGATGTTATACTTTTTACTCTAGTGTAAAGAAAAGAATGTGAAAAGAAATGCGATGATAGACACAGAATCTGATCTATTATCACTATTTACATAAAAGTGACACGTTCCTGACATAACGTTTCAGCGTTAACATGCATCTGGGTCAAACTATTATCAATATAGGTCTATTTTGATACTATTCAGGTGTGAAATATTGACCAAGATTTGCAAAATATAGTGGTTTTAACGATGTCATTTTTTTTTCTTTATTTATTTTAGATACTATACATGGCTGTGGTACTGTATGCACCAGCACTTGCTCTAAATCAGGGTAGGTAATATACTTAAACAATATCATATATAGTGCTACTTTACATGGCTGTGGTACTGTATGCACCAGCACTTGCTCTAAATCAGGGTAGATAATATACTTAAACAATATCATATAGGTTACAATACACCATTAGATTTTATGGGCGCAACATGGTATTCAGAATTAAGAGTATAGCTAATCCTGATTGGTTGATATGTGCGCCCGTTTTTTTTTGTTATTAGGGACTTCGTGCATTCTGCATTATACCAAAGGCCAAATAAATTATTTTCCTTAGCCCTAACGGAACTGAGATGTCTTTTAAACGCTAGGATGAGACACGTATTTTTAAGTCCAAAATTGATAGGCATGGGAGATAAGTACAAATTACGTTAAGAAAAGCAACTCGAACCTATATTTTTTGGACCAAAAAATACTGTCCTAATGACGTTTCTTTAATTCTAGCAAGGTTTCGTTTAAAAAATCCACTTTCTAAAGTCTGTATCTCGAAAAAGGCTATCATTGTCGCCTATGGGGAAATTAATTGTTTATTTCAATCTATATAGTGTTACTAGGTATATGTAACATACTTAAACAATATCATATAAAGTGTCGCTTTGCATGGCTGTGGTACTGTATGCACCAGCACTTGCTCTAATCAAGTTAGGTAACATTAACATTTTTAAACATTATCGGTCATCCCATTGTCAGTATCATTCTGATCAGCTCTTTTCAAATAAAATTGCATATCACAGCTTTGTGACGTCAAATACATTGACCCGGCCTTAATAACTTTGACCCGGACATATCAACGACGTCATAATGAATTAACCGACGTTGATAAGTTTGACCCGAACTTATCAAGTCATCTTCCGGTTTGCTGGTGTAGCAAAAACCCACTTGTTTCTATCATGCAAAATACGCAAATACATACCGATAAATCGATTATCTGGTTGTCTACATATTCATATTGTAAAATAACTCAAGAGCGATGTAAGTGACGCCACCAAATTCGAACTTGATATGTGTCTGGTGCTAATAAGCATAGTGTGTAAGTTTCATTACATTTGGTTGAGGCAAACAAAAGTTAGAGTACGGAAACGGCAAATGTAGTAGTTGTTCCATTTATAAAGGGACACAACTCGTGCACGGTGAAAGTGACGCCCCAAAAATTTGAACTTGATCTGTATTTGGGGGTCATACGCATTGTTTATAAGTTTAAAGGCATTTTAAAGAGGCAAAGTAAATTTAGATTGCGGAAACAGCAATTTTGCCAATTTTTCCACTTTTAAAAGGGCATAACTCAAGAACTGTAAAAATTACGCCACCCATATTTTAACTTGATATGTGTTTGGTGTTAATAAGTATTGTGTACGGGTTTCATAACATTTGGTAGAGGCAAAATAAAGTTAGAGTGCGGAAATGACAAATTTGGCATTTTTTCATTTACAACGGGACATAACTCGAAAACGGTGAAAGAGTGACGCCACCCAAATTCGAACTTGACCTGTGTTTAACGATTATAAGCAGTGTATTAAAGTTCCTTAACATTTGATTGAGGCAAACTAAAGTAAGAGAACGGAAATTAATTTTGTGACGTACGGAGAGACGTACGGTCGCACGGACGGACGCACAGACGGACAAGGATAAAACTTAATGCCCCGTCCGCCACGGTGGGGGAACAAAAAAAAATTACATCAGATGTATATTTTGTGATTTTTCTGTTGTCCCACCCAACACACACACACACACACACACTGATCTGTCTTCCATACTTTGCAGTATATTATATATTTTTATTTGATTCTTGAAATCATATAGATAAATTGTAAATTTGGGGTGCAGCACTTACCAATCCCATATTTTTCAAATGTGGCGTGTCAACGTCATGGGACTGAAATTTAATACCGGTAATCTAGTTACATAAATTAATTAAATATATTTATTAACGTCTTATGATAAACGGGTGTTTTTTACAGCTAATATAATTTAATACAAAAATGTATTATGTAATAATGTTGACGTTGTTTTCAAGGATCGTTTCATGTGCAAAAAGTGTACTTAAACCCGCTGCATTTGTTTGCACCTGTCCTAAGTCAGAAACCTGATGTGGCTGTCTTTGTTGATGTGGTTCATAAGCGTTTCTCGTTTCTCGTTTTTTATATAGATTAGACCGTTGGTTTTCCTGTTTGAATGGTTTTACACTAGTCATTTTTGGGGCCCTTTATAGCTTGCTGTTCGGTGTGAGCCAAGGCTCCGTGTTGAAGGCCGAACTTTGACCTATAATGGTTTACTTTTACAAATTGTGACTTTGATGGCGATTTGTCTCATTGGCACTCATACCACATCTTCTAATATCTTCATAAATCATTTTTTATCAATGAACCCAACAGAATGATTTTTATTATATAAATAAAAGAAATCTGTCCTCCATCTTTAAAATATGTTTGAAATATCTACATTGTGTAGCTTTCGTTTAGAATTTACAATGTACATGTAACAGTTCCACCATATAAGAATTGATGTCATAAAATGTGTATATTCCCATTTTTATGTAATGTTTTACAGTTATGGGTATCGATATGCTGGTGTCTATTTTGGTGATCGGACTGGTCTGCACATTTTACACAGCTATTGTAAGTTTCTCCATTTTCTTTCTTTTTTTTTTCTTTTTTTTTTAATGATTCAATGATTTTTTTCAAATATTTACTTAAAAAATCAAAATATGATAACATTTTGTAGATGATATAATCGTAAATATCATAATACGAGTTAATAAAAAAAAGAATTCAATATATGTATATCCATGTGGTACAAAAATGTACCATTCTCTCATTACCTATCACTTTGGTCAACCATTAAAAGAATTGTCTGAATATTCTTATCGTTCCAAAAAATGAATTGGTTAAATGATTTTCAGTTGCAAATAAGCATAGTTCAGGCAAATTAGGAACAATAATAAAACCTAAAAACTTGGGTAGGTTTCGAAAGGTGACTGTTCCGGGAAATAGAAGATAAGTCTTACTCCCAATGCAAATAAAAATAACCCTTTATAAATTAAGTGCTTCCGAATCGCTAGTGTAAATTTCATCAGAAATAATCCTACCAATAGATCTGAGAGTCTACGATGTATAAATATTTTAGAAGTTATATAACCAAAAGGGACATACATGTAACATGAATAGTAAAAACCTTTGAAGATCAGTCTTGCCTGAGGAAGTTGGAACACTATTTTCTAATAATTTCTAAATTAAAAAAAACAAATTTTTTTTTAAATGTATGTTGAAAATCATCTTAGTGACAAGACACTTACGTATGCTGGGCTAATAATCTCTTGGGGACTAACAAACAATCCACCAACAGCGCTATTGACCCCGTGATTGAAATTAAAATATCATTTTATTATGGAGTAGATTCGCGTAAGGTGATAATTGGTCCTAATATTTATATAGTTTTTAATTTGACCATAATACTACAAATTTTACATAGATATGGTTGATATATATATATTTTTATAAAAAAATGACTTCTTTTTGGCACATTACATTAGAGGTCACAATATTTGTGTTGTAACGTCAGTGATGGTCCGATTTGTCGATGATAACTTGTAACAGTTTTTGCAACCTCCGATCCAGAAAATTGTTGTGTCTAGGCATTCTATATAAACATTGGTTTATTACAGAACATTTTGGATTCGGCCAAGGTTTTCCTGAACATTTGTGGGGAAAAAATAAATACAATCATCGTTGTTTGACAACATCACTAAAATGTGTTGACTTTGGAGCCTCTAATGACCTTTTATGGAGAGATTTGTTTTATTAGCACAAAGACTTTTGATATCTAAGAACAAACTTGTGACTTTTTTAAAAATCATTTATGATAAAGTTGAAATTCAAGGTTACATTTTGACAAATGTAAACCTTTTCCTTTTGTAATTACGAAACATTTTCTCGAATTCGTCTTCATCAGGATTGCACAAAACCAAAATTTGAGAAAATTTTAGTAGGATCAGCTAGATGTTTTGCCGTTAAGTTAGTACAACAGGCCACGAATGGGTCTTCAAAGGAGTTGTGAAAATGTAAAAAGAATTCATGTACATGCGGGGAGCGTATCACTTGATCATTCAGAATTACATTCCGATGCGTATTCATACCTTCCGAAAAAACGATAGACGCATGTCTAGAGAGAGCCCCGTTAATATGACGGGAGAAACATATACTATTAAGTCAAACGTATTTCTGTATATCTATTCCAAGGGTGGACTAAAAGCAGTAATGTGGACGGATGCTTTCCAAATGATTATTGTCTTTGCTGGGTTGCTGACACTCATAATTAAAGCCACGATAGAAGTCGGTGGAATAGCAACGGTCTTCGAAAGGGCGTCAGCAGGCGGAAAACTAGAAATTGACAAGTATGTATAATCAACAATACCTTCCGTTATCTAGATGATATTTTTTCGTTAAATAATCCAGAGTTCTCTAAATATACTACCGAAATTTACCCAATAGAACTTACTTTAACTAAATCTAACATAAACAGCAGTAGTTGTCCTTTTCTGGATTTGGACATTTCAATCTCTAAAGGAAAACTCCATACGAAAATTTACGACAAAAGAGACGATTTTTCATTCCCTATTGTTAATTTTCCTTTTTTAGACGGCGATGTTCCTTTGGCTCTATCATACGGTGTATATATATCCCAACTCGTTCGTTATACCCGTGTGTGTAGTGATGTCATAGATTTTAACGAACGTAATCAATGCATCACTGGTAAATTATTAAATCAAGGATTTCGTTACCATAAATTACGTAAAACTTTTGCTAAGTTCTTTCATAGATACAAAAATGTGATTAGTAAATTTGGCTGTACATGTAGAAAACTGATTAAAAACGGTATTTCACATCCTAAATTTTACGGTAATATTGTACTTAAAGCGCAGAAATCACTATGTGATCCGTGTAAACTCATCGAACCTTTAAACAGGCTCATAAGAAAAGGTTATCTTACCAATGTTGTAATTAGATCTTTGAATATAGTTTACATTGGCACTAATATCGATTTTGTCATCAGCAAATTAAAACATAACTAAATTTGTATTTTTTTCAAGTGGGATGTATAAAGACACACCCACGTTCGTTTAGATCTATAAAGAGGTTAAACTCCTAACTATCCTACTGTCTGTCGATACATTTATTTTTGGCATTGCACTAGTCATGTCTTCTTTGACTGTCCATGACGTTAAAATACTAAATCCCTGGGATGTGTTTTAGTTGATTTTAGTCTCTGATGCATGATTTTTTATTATTAATTGTTTTGGCTTTTAACTAGCTGTCAGTAACTGCGAGTACTCTCAAATCGTACTTTCTTGTTTATTTGACCTGTTGATACTAATTGTATTGCTTTTTTGTTATTTAATGTTATTCAGGGTTATATATATCTGGTCTATATACCAGCTTTGATAAGTGTTTGGTATAACTATAAATTTTTACTTCGTACTATGAACATCAAAATTATTTATTTTGTAAAAGTATTTCCTTTCTCTATTGGTACTGTACACGTATACCTAACAACAAAATTATTTTCATTTACCTGTGTTTAAAGTTATTGCAAATGGGTGGTATTTTTGTTCGAGCATATTGTTTTTCTTTTATTGTTTAACATTTCTTACCTATATAACATGTTACTTTTATTATTCTTCCCTTAGTTTATTTATTTTGTATTCTAAATTATTTATTTTGTAAAAATATTTCCTTTCTCTATTGGTACTGTACACGTATACCTAACAACAAAATTATTTTCATTTACCTGTGTTTAAAGTTATTGCAAATGGATGGTATTTTTGTTCGAGCATATTGTTTTTCTTTAATTGTATCATTTCTTACCGATATAATATGTTACTTTATTATTCTTCCCTTAGTTTATTTATTTTGTATTTACATTGTGTCATAGGTCAAATTTATTTGTTCAGTGTATGTTCAATGGTGTTAATATGTCCTTTGATTGAGTTAAGCTATTTCAGTTGATATTTTATAGTGTGTCTTTTTATGTTGTGATGTTACACTATTGTTTCAGAAAAAGGGTGAAGGTTTGGTACCATTAAAACGTTTAAACCCGCTGCATTTGTTTGCACCTGTCCTAAGTTAGGAATCTGATGTTCAGTAGTTGTCGTTTGTTGATGTGGTTCATAAGTGTTTCTCGTTTCTCGTTTTTTATATAGATTAGACCGTTGGTTTTCCCGTTTGAATGGTTTTACACTAGTAATTTTTTGGGGCCCTTTATAGCTTACTGTTCGGTGTGAGCCAAGGCTCCGTGTTGAAGACCGTACTGTGACCTATAATGGTTTACTTTTATAAATTTTGACTTGGATGGAGAGTTGTCTCATTGGCACTCATACCACATCTTCTTATATCTATATGTTTTTGTTTAATCTATTGATTTGATTTCACTATAGTCATTATTAAAGGGACATTAGCTTTCAAATTCATGTTCACCGATTTGACTCAAATTCTCATATTCGACTTAGCTAAGGGGTTAAATTGAAGGTCACATGAATACGGATCAAATAAAGTCGAATTATTCACTTGCAAGTGAATAATTCATCAGCGATGTTTCTTAGCTTATTTTGGCAAAATTGAACCAAACTGGCTGCAAAAAGCGAATTATTATTTCACTATTTCACTTTCATTACTGATTGAACAAAAAAAAATCATATCTTTATTTTTTTTTTATATCTCGTAGCTAATGCCCCTTTAAAAAATGTGTGAATAGAGCATCAGGTACACCAATGAGAGAGAGAGATTTAATAAAAGTATGTGCGCCATCGATTCATTGATTGGGTATAATGAATATAAAGAGAGAGAGCCGTAAACGTTGTTATCGTGAAATGTTTATGTTATTCAATGTTTAGTGATAGTGATAACAATTTTAATAAATGTATCTGGGCCATCGTTGCATTGATGGGGTACAATGTTTGTAATCAAAGAAAACATTGAATTTAAGAAGGGATTAATTATGAAAGTCATTTAAAGTCTTTAATTAACTTTGTTATCGCCATGGTCCTTTGTTCTGTTAAATTCTCAAAAGATAAAAAGTAACCATAGATTATGATGACTTTAAATTTTTAGTTTTGATCCAAGTCCTATGGTGAGACACACGGTCTGGACTTTGATACTTGGTGGCTTTATGACAGCACTGACAGTATATGGCGGAAACCAAGCTATGGTTCAAAGATATGTCAGCATGAAGAACTTACGAGGAGCTCAAACGTAGGTTAAATGATTATAAACGCCCATTCATCAATTGGTCTAATTAAAATAATTTTCTTATTTTTATGCCAGTTCTTTTAGTTTGAAAAAAATAAACATTTTGTTATAATTTACCATTTGAATAAAAATTATATGAAGCGACGAAATACAAAAATGAAAAGGTAATAACTCTTTTCATTAATACAATCTGTCATTTGTTGCAAGACACCGCCATTTACTCTCCACGATGTCCTTCTTTTGTTTTTAACCTTAACCTCGATTACCTCCGCCTCTGATTGCTCAGCTCTTTGGCTAAGCCTGTGTTCTTTCAGTCATGCAACATTATTTAGATAGGACATGTATGTTTCCTTTAGAAGCAATATTTATTTTAACGCCGTTATAAAGAGACCTGCTTGACGATTTCAATTTGTTTTTCACAAGCGGTAACTGTTTAGCTTATAATAAATGTTTTCATTGAATAATGTTTTCTAAAGCATTTAATATCGATGAAATGTAGCCGTTGTCTGTAGATCTTTTTTTTGATAAGACATGAAAACTACCAAAGGAGCAATCGAAGAGCAGACAAATTCACGTGGTCTTTCTAGATCACAAGATTGAGACGAGTATTAACCATCTGCAGGAAAATATTCATTCCTTTGTATGCTGCACATACATAATACGAATTTAAAATGCAAGAGTCGAACATTCAAATAGCAAGACGTTTATACCCCTTTAATTTTTGTTAATAATATTTCCGGTATTCTTCTAGGGCTTTATACCTACAGTTACCCGCCAGCATAGTATTTACATCACTACTTGTTTACACCGGTCTCGTTCTGTTTGCAAAATATGGAGATCAAAATCCTGTGCCATGTATAATTCCAAAAGGAGATCAGGTATTTAAAACTAGTCCGCCTATTGATAGATATTATTTCCGTTAAAAACTATTCGGGAGAATCAGACAAACTCTTGTCGTTTTCACGAATCTTTTATCTAAAAATATGATGTTTTCTATTTTTATCAAATAATATATTATAATCGATATTTTTTGTACTTCATTCGAGTGTACTTCTCCTTTTATAACTTAAGCTCATGTGGTGTAAGAGTCCTTATCTGAAGTAAGTTTCACAAAACATCTTACGACTAAAGTTGATCGTAAGTATTACACATTTTAGTATACTTACGATCAACCTAAGTCGTAAGATTTTTTGTGAAACTCATTCCTGAATTTTATCTCATATTCCGCAGATAAATCATTAATTTGTATGCCTAAAATATATTGCGCGCATTTAATTTTTCACCTTGTTAGAATTTGACTCATTTGCTGTCTTTCATGTGCATATTAAGTATTTATGTGATAGTAGGTACTTTACTTTTTTAATGAAAATTTCAAAGTCTTTGAGAAAAAAACAATCTTCAGCATCTCAAACAAAAGAATTAAATACAAAAAAAATGTATATTTATGTATTCAAATCCAGCGCGCGATTTGGAATTTGATGCGACTGTCATACAAGTGAGAGGTTTAGCGCTATAAAACAAGGGTTAAATCCACCATTTTCTACATAAGATAATGCCTGTACCAAGTCCGGAATATGACAAGTGTTGTCCATTCGTTTGATGTGTTTGTGCTTTTAATTTTGCCATTTGAGTAGGGACTTTCCGTTTTGAATTTTCCTCGGAGTTCAGTATTTTTGTGATTTAACTTTTTCAGCTCTTTGGATAAGCTTGTGTTCGTACAATTGTGAAATTGTTCAGTATTGACATGTATGGTTTCCTTTAGAAGCAATACTTATCATTAACGCCGTTATAAAGAGATCTGTTCAATTAGCTGGACGATTTCATTTGTTTTCACAAGCGGTAAAATTTTAGCTCTTAATCCTAGAAAGCAGTAGATCGCTTAAGCATCTTGACTATATAGTTTTCTCTGATACTATTCATGCTTACAGTGCTTAAAATATATTACAAGTAATACCTTACTTTTTACAGTTAATACCATATTTGGTAATGGATGTGTTAGGTAATGCCTATGGCGTACCAGGATTGTTTGTTGCCTGTATATTCAGTGCGTCCTTAAGGTGAGGTTATATCACATAATTTCTAGAAAAAAATGTTAGTATTTCCAAAACTGAAAGAAAGATGTGAAGAGTGAACAATTCTTAGACTTTCATCTTAATCCACATACCGAATGCAATAGGTTTCAAAAAAATCACAGCTTAGAAGATACTTATGAGAGGGACCAATTTTGTCAATGCAATCTTTTACTAAACACAAGACTGGAAAATAAGTAACTGTAAAGCCACATTCTCACTTTAAAAATTTAATAAAAGAGTTTCCTTCTTGTCTTATTCCTCTTAAGAGATGAAATTATCAATTGAAGAGATCTGTTCATCAATATGTATTACTGAAATTGCCCACATAAAACCATTGTTATATACCAGATTGTCAGTCAAATGCGGTATTTGTTTGCCCTGAAGAATAGTTCTTCCAAAATATTTTAAAATATGTTTTATTCCAGTACAGTGTCTTCTGGTGTCAATGCTCTAGCCTTAGTATTTATGACAGACATCTTCAAACCAATTTACAAGAAAATAACTCAGACAGAAGTTAATGAAAGCAGAGCTACAGTGTATTCAAAAGTGGTTGCATTATTATATGGCCTATTGACAATTGGACTTGCATTCCTGTCGCAGTATTTTGGAACTCTGATATTACAAATTTCCTTAAGTATATTTGGAATGGTTGGTGGACCGTTGTTGGCGCTATTTGTTATGGCTTTGTTCTTCCCGTGTATAAATTCACTGGTGAGTATAGAAATTATCATAAAAAAGAGGTATGAAAAGAAGCCATAACCTAGACCATGAAAATGCAAAAATGGTACATCTTTTTAATCAACTCCTAATTTAACTATCTTGACATTTAAGGGCAAATATGTCTGCTGTAGTGTCATGATGTCATTTTGGTGTCAAAACGTGGTAAAATTGACATACTTGACTTCAACTTGTCATGATGGGTGCAAATATAAAAACATACCAAAGCCTTACCCAAACAGATAGTTTAACCACATTAACATCTTTGTATAAAGACATCAGATCTACTATGCTTCCACTTTTGTACGCCAGACGCGCATTTTGTCTACACAAGACTCATCAGTGTCATCCGATACCAAAATATTTTTTTAAAGTCCCGAGAGTTCACTATGGTTTATAGAAACTATCATCTGGAATTCTCCTACCTGTCAGTGATACTCATTTTAAAGAGTAGCCCCTATTTAGCTGTGCATGTTGTGTAAATAAGCAAGAACATGCTGTCGCTTTTTGGGACTTCAAATCTAATTCCTCGTTGAGAGAGAGTGCCACAGGAAAGAGCCATAGCAACACCTCATGTAAGTTCCTGGCGCAGTACAACATATCTACCTTTTTCAACATATAGATTTGTTCTCGACCTTAATATTCATGAAATATCATACCACTGGACGTTAAAAAAACCAAATCAGTCAATCAATATAAATATATTTTCGGTGGTGATTCCCCCAAAGAATAACAATTAACAGGAATACTTTTCTGAATGAGTTTACGCTACACGAGATGTGTTCAAACTATTTGTCCAATGTATAAAAACAAATGTATCGTCGGATAGTTTTCATTTGCATACAAAAGTAAAATTTTAAGATCAGTGAAAACTTTAGTTGCAGTAGTTATAAGAACTGGTGGTAATTAATAAACAGTACATTTAGTAATAGTAATTCATCTTGTCAATTTATTTCCATATCATAGTTCTGGAATGAAATCTTTTTAAGCAAGTTGAGCTGTGCATATGTAGTGCCACTCAAAATGTAAAGCTGTCTTCATGGATCAACACATATATTATTAATAAAGTCCAAAAACTTATATTTTTCTCGTAATTGCGCAATGACTTGCTTATATATTTAAAAAGTCAATTATACAAGAGGTTAATTATATTGGTAACGATCAATCTTTTTAGGGCGCTACTATAGGAATGATATGCAGTTTGATATTTTCATTTTGGCTAGCCATTGGGACTATTGCCAGTCGACCAAGTCCACCACCATATTCATGTCCAGTAGATACAAATGCCACTTTGACCAATTTTACAACACATTGGACCACAAACTATACAATAAGCACGACGACTGCTTTGTATAATTCAACTATAGATATTAAGAATGTTGCTGCAGCTGAAAAGTAAGTCTTTATACAATGATGAGTGACATTAAATGGGAGTGTCTCCATCGATTTTCTAACTATATTTATATTGGAGATGGTTTAAGTTTGACATATGCACGTTATTTTTTCTACTTGCATAAGTCATGTAAATGATTCGCTCGCGAAAACTAGTAAGCTTATTGTATACGCCTACAATATAGCAACCATAACATGAAACAATCATTAAAACAACATCTATATATGGTCTTTTATGATAGTAAAGTGTCAATACAATATCATTACGGTATTTTGTCATACTGTAATGCCAGCAGTATCTTGTATTATTTTCAACACAATGAAAAAAAAAGATAAAAAAGATAAATACAGTGTAGCTGATAAATTTGTATTTATACAACTTTTTCTAATAGCCTTGAAAAAATATGTTGTCAGTCCAATTAGTTACACAAATTTGGTATAATCGTGAATACATTTATCTCTAACTTCATCCTCGGCATGTATGTAAGACACTAATATCCATGCATTTGAATAATGAGTTGGTCTTTAAAGGAAAACCAGCCTTATGCATTGTATAATTAGTTGGTCTTTAAAGGAAAACAAGCCTTATGCATTTGTATAATTAGTTGGTTTTAAAAGAATACAATCATATGCATTTGTATAATTAGTTGGTCATTAAAGGAAAACAATCCCGACGCATTGTATAATTAGTAGGTCTTTAAAGGAAAACAAGCCTTATACATTTGTATAAATAATTGGTTTTAAAGGAAAACCAGCCTTATACATTGTATAATTAGTTGGTCTTTAAAGGAAAACAATCCTGATGCTTTTGTAAGCCTTATGCATTGTATTATTAGTAGGTCTTTAAAGGAAAACAAGTCTTATGCATTTGTATAAATAATTGGTTTTAAAGGAAAACAAGCCTTATACATTGTATAATTAGTTGGTCTTTAAAGGAAAACAAACCTTATGTATTGTATAATTAGTTGGTCTTAAAAGAAAAACAAGCCTTATACATTGTATAATAAGTTGGTCTTTAAAGGAAATCAAGCCTTATGCATGGTATAATTAGTTTGTCTTTAAAGGCACACAACCTTACGCATTTGAATAAATAGTTGGTCTTTAAAGGAAAACAATCCCGACGCATTGTATAATTAGTTGGTTTTAAAAGGAAAACAAGCCTTATACATTGTATATTTACTTGGTCTTTAAAGGAAAACAAACCTTATGCATTGTATAATTACTTAGTCTATAAAGGAAAACAAGCCTTATGCATTTGTATAATCACTTGGTCTTTAAAGGAAAACAAGCCTTATGCATTGTAAAATGAGTTGGTCTGTAAAGAAAAACAAGCCTAATACATTTTTAAGCCTTATGCATTGTATAATTAGGTGGTTTTTAAAGGAAAACAATCCTGATGCATTTGTAAGCCTTATGCATTGTATAATTAGTAGGTCTTTAAAGGAAAACAAGCCTTATGCATTTGTATAAATAATTGGTTTTAAAGGAAAACAAGCCTTATACATTGTATAATTAGTTGGTCTTTAAAGGAAATCAAGCCTTATGCATTGTATAATTAGTTTGTCTTTAAAGGCAAACAACCTTACGCATTTGAATAAATAGTTGGTCTTTAAAGGAAAACAAGCCTTATACATTGTATAATTACTTGGTCTTTAAAGGAAAACAAGTCTTATGCATTTGCATAAATAATTGGTTTTAAAAGGAAAACAAGCCTTATGCATTGTATAATTAGTTGGTCTTTAAAGGAAAACAAGTCTTATGCATTTGTATAAATAATTGGTTTTAAAAGGAAAACAAGCCTTATACATTGTATAATTAGTTGGTTTTTAAAGGAAAACAAACCTTATGTATTGTATAATTAGTTGGTCTAAAAAGGAAAACAAGCCTTATACATTGTATAATTAGTTGGTTTTTAAAGGAAAACAAACCTTATGTATTGTATAATTAGTTGGTTTTAAAAGGAAAACAAGCCTTATACATTGTATAATTAGTTGGTCTTTAAAGGAAATCAAGCCTTATGCATTGTATAATTAGTTTGTCTTGAAAGGCAAACAAGCCTTATGCATTTGAATAATTAGTTATTTTTTAAAGAAAATCAAGCCTTATGCATTGTTTAATTACTTGGTCTTGAAAGAAAAACAAGTCTTATGCATTTGTATAATTAGTTGGTTTTTAAAGGAAAACCAGCCTTACGCATTTGTATAATTAGTCGGTCTTTAAAGGAAATCAAGCCTTATATATTGCATAATTAGTTGGTCTTTAAATGAAAACATGCCTTACGCATTGTATAATTATATGGCCTTTAAATGAAAACAAGCCTTAAGCATTGTATAATTATATGGCCTTTAAATGAAAACAAGCCTTAAGCATTGTATAATTAGTAGGTCTTAAAAAGAAAAACAAGCCTTATACATTGTATAATTAGTTGGTCTTTAAAGGAAATCAAGCCTTATGCATTGTATAATTAGTTTGTCTTGAAAGGCAAACAAGCCTTATGCATTTGAATAATTAGTTGGTTTTTAAAGAAAATCAAGCCTTATGCATTGTATAATAACTTGGTCTTGAAAGAAAAACATGTCTTATGCATTTGTATAATTAGTTGGTCTTTAAAGGAAAACAAGTCTTATGCATTTGCATAAATAATTGGTTTAAAAAGGAAAACAAGCCTTATACATTGTATAATTAGTTGGTTTTTAAAGGAAAACAAACCTTATGTATTGTATAATTAGTTGGTCTAAAAAGGAAAACAAGCCTTATACATTGTATAATTAGTTGGTCTTTAAAGGAAAACAAGTCTTATGCATTTGCATAAATAATTGGTTTAAAAAGGAAAACAAGCCTTATACATTGTATAATTAGTTGGTTTTTAAAGGAAAACAAACCTTATGTATTGTATAATTAGTTGGTCTAAAAAGGTAAACAAGCCTTATACATTGTATAATTAGTTGGTCTTTAAAGGAAAACAAGTCTTATGCATTTGCATAAATAATTGGTTTAAAAAGGAAAACAAGCTTTATACATTGTATAATTAGTTGGTTTTTAAAGGAAAACAAACCTTATGTATTGTATAATTAGTTGGTCTAAAAAGGAAAACAAGCCTTATACATTGTATAATTAGTTGGTCTTTAAAGGAAATCAAGCTTTATGCATTGTATAATTAGTTTGTCTTGAAAAGCAAACAAGCCTTATGCATTTGAATAATTAGTTGGTTTTTAAAGAAAATCAAGCCTTATGTATTGTATAATTACTTGGTCTTGAAAGAAAAACAAGTCTTATGCATTTGTATAATTAGTTGGTTTTCAAAGGAAAACCAGCCTTATGCATTTGTATAATTAGTCGGTCTTTAAAGGAAATCAAGCCTTATATATTGTATAATTAGTTGGTCTTTAAATGAAAACATGCCTTACGCATTGTATAATTATATGGCCTTTAAATGAAAACAAGCCTTAAGCATTGTATAATTAGTTGGTTTTTAAAGGAAAACAAGCCTTATGCATTTGTATAATTAGTTGGTCTTTAAAGGAAAACAAACCTTATGTATTGTATAATTAGTAGGTCTTAAAAGGAAAACAAGCCTTATACATTGTATAATTAGTTGGTCTTTAAAGGAAATTAAGCCTTATGCATTGTATAATTAGTTGGTTTTTAAAGAAAATCAAGCCTTATGCATTGTATAATAACTTGGTCTTGAAAGAAAAACATGTCTTATGCATTTGTATAATTAGTTGGTTTTTAAAGGAAAACAAGCCTTATGCATTGTATAATTAGTTGGTCTTTAAAGGAAATCAAGCCTTATATATTGTATAATTAGTTTGTCTTTAAAGGAAAACACGCCTTACGCATTGTATAATTATATGGCCTTTAAATGAAATCAAGCCTTATATATTGTATAATTACTTGGGCTTTAAAGGAAAACACGCCTTACGCATTGTATAATTATATTGCCTTTAAAGGTAAACAAGCCCAATGCATTTGTAAGCCTTATGTATTGTATAATAAGCTGATCTTTGAAGGACAACAAGCCTTATGCATTGTATAATTAGTTTGTCTTTAAAGGAAAACAAGCCTTATGCATTATATGATTAGTTGGTCTTTTAATGGAAACAAGCCGTATGCATTGTATAATTAGTTGGTCTTTAAAGGAAAACAAAGGTTTATGCAGTGTATAATTACGCATTGTATGATTATTTGGTCTTTAAAGGAAAACAAGCCTTATGCATTTGTAAATAATTAGTTGGTCGTTAACGGAAAACAAGCTTTATGCATTAGTATATAATTAGTTGGTCTTTAAAGGAAAACAATCCTGATGCATTTGTAAGCCTTATGTATTGTATAATAAGCTGATCTTTGAAGGACAACAAGCCTTATGCATTGTATAATTAGTTGGTCTTTAAAGGAAAACAAGCCTTATGCATTATATGATTAGTTGGTCTTTTAATGGAAACAAGCCGTATGCATTGTATAATTAGTTGGTCTTTAAAGGAAAACAAAGGTTTATGCAGTGTATAATTACGCATTGTATGATTATTTGGTCTTTAAAGGAAAACAAGCCTTATGCATTTGTAAATAATTAGTTGGTCGTTAACGGAAAACAATTTTTATGCATTAGTATATAATTACTTGGTTTTTTAAGGAAAACAAGCCTTGTGCATTGTATAATTTCTTGGTCTTGAAAGGTAAACAAGGCTTATGCATAATCAATGTCATTAATTTCAACTGATAGACTATAACTTCCAAACTAAAGCAAAATGTATGCATTTCATCTCCGTACATTTGTAAGTTGAATTTGAATATGCACAGGGGAAAGTTCTTTAATGATAGATATGTACTCTGTTAGTGTTGTATCGCGCATGCGGACTGAATCTGAACCTCATTGGCAATCATACCACATCTTATTTGTATAATCAATAATACAAATTATAATATTGTGTTTATCTTTTTTTAATTATAATAATGAATTGACCTTTGTGAAACTATTAGTACAACTATTTTGTTAGAGTTAGAAGAAAAAGATTATCTGTTAATGTATTTAAAAAAAGGTATTTATTAAGATTTTCTTGTGAAAAATATTAATACCCAACTTGTTTATGCATTTGCTGTATTTAGGACAGGGTTACAGACATTTTATAGTATTTCATACTTATGGTATAGTACACTAGCAGTTTTAGTAGCAGTATCTGTAGCACTTTTGGTCAGCTGCTTTTCTGGTAAGTAATCTACCTATGATATGGTGCCAATTATAATGATTATCAACCTTTATTTTTATAGAAGTTTTGTGTAGTTGCATTTGAAACCTGAATTTAATTAACGTTTTAAGTTACGCTCTAATCTAATAATAAGCAAACATGTAAGGGGGTGGTTACATATCAGATTTTTATGATATACGTATGCTTTTCCTACTTATAAGGCTATCCACAGAAGAAAATGTATTAGTGATGAAACAAACCAATCACAAGTAGCACATTTATTTTTATCTCCATGGCATATTCGGAACCGTTCACACGATCGGTGTTGGTGTAAATTTAACGATACTTTGTACATTGTTACAAAAGGTTCCGACCCCCTTTCCCACAAAAATATTTGTTTAAGACTTCAATAAATATATGAACGATGTTTAAAACCGCATTTTGAAAATGCCCCAAAACAGTATTAGTAATATTACACAATTTATGACACTAAAGTTTCTATCATTATTTTCACATCATTTATAAGAATAAACATAGCATATGATAACTCGTCATAGATACAAGATGACAGACATCATACTTATTACTTACAGGTAGAAATTTAAAAGAAGAGGGGTAGCATTGGTCGATTTATTAAAAAAGAAATACCTCAAAATTAAATACATGGCAGGCTTAATTTTCTGTAAATTAAGAAGTTCATGTCTGTCGATTAACATTTTAATGTACTTTTTTTACGGTACGATGTAAATCTTTTGTTTTTATTATTGACGCCCTTCAATCGACTTTCAAGGTGATAAAGAATGCTGGAAAAACTTTGTCCTATAATACCTTGTCTATTGGTTCGTTCGTTCGTCTGTTATTATATGAACGGTACCAATTTGCTACACAAGATGCGCAATTGTTACATATTATTCAGGTTAATATTCGCTGCGGAACTTTATAATGTTGAATTGAACCGTATTACACATTTTCAGATCTGCCGGCATATTGATGACAATTTGAGTAATTTTACTCACTGAGCATGGAATAGTTCCGTTAATGTTTGATAAATATTTGGATAATACTTTTGACGCGAGCACGTGCAATCAATGTTTTAAATAATGTTCTTTACTATACATTCACCTTTTATTCATATCCCTTTTTAAGGTAAGTAGTCCCAAGTCAGGAGCATAGTTCAGTGGTTCTCGTTGGTTCATGTCTGTCATATTTGTTTTTCGTACATTGTTTTGTTATAAATTATGCCGTTAGTTTTCTCAATTTATTTGTTTTTATTTTTCATGTAGGGGCCTTTTATAGCCGCCTATACGGTATGGGTTTTCTCATTGTTGAAGGCCGTACGGTTGTCTAGTATTGCTTACATCCACTTCATTTGAACTTTGGTGGATAGTTGTCTCATTGGCAATCATACCACATCTCCTTATTTTTAAATATTTTTTAGATTTATTTGTCACCATGTCTTTATGTATTTGTTGATTGTTCTTTCAGAAACTAACTTCCGTAATCTACATTCTTATTTTTAGAATGGAGGAAAACAAAGTTTCGTGGTATTAAAATGTATCTGACTCTTTAATACTTCTTTACGCATGTGTCTATTGCTTATCAGTGACATTCCTTTGTCTTGAACATCTGTACAGTTATATATGCAGAAAATATTAAACTGTATGCCAAAGCATTAGTTAGAAATAAAACAAACATAATCTCTAAACTGTTCAGTCGCGAGGTATACAAATGTAACTGTACAACAATTTAAAAGTTGCAATGTAGCAATACAAGGTGCATATTGAAAAAAACTAAATGCAGAATGCTTGAAAAAAAGTTGAGCATTGGCGATAAAACTCGAGTTTTATCCATATTTCTTCTTTTCGTCTTAAATATAAAATTGCTTTCTTTCTTGTCTGTCTTTATGCATCTATGTATTGCAATATCAATCTACATTTGCGCATGCTCATATTAAAATTATCTTATTCAACATTATGTACTTCAACTAAAAGATAGAGTTTTCTTCTTTTTTCTTTTAAACCTATGATTTGACAAATAATAAGCTCTGTCTACTCTTATCCAATCATTTTCTCTTTACTTTTTCTGGATAATATTAATATGTTTTTCCAAAGTTTAAGTCAATGTTGCAATTTAAAGGCTTTGTTTGATAATTTACAGTTATTTTTTTCTCAAACCACTAATAGAACTTAAGCGATAAATCAGCATGGAACATATTCAAGTGGTGATTATTTTACAAGCTCGAAAATGTATGATAAATTCTCAATTTATTTTACCTAAAACTAATGGTGTTCTTGAAATATTTATTCAAATTTAACAATACTGTGCGAATAAAAACAAAAACTTGTACACAAAAATAGGAAGAAAATGAAACAATAAAAGTTCTGTAAACCCATGTCATCTTTTAATCTACAGTATAATACGTATAATTATACGTTATATAATACATACGTAATCAACGTTATATAATACACGTCTGACCTACGTAATCAACGTTATATAATACACGTCTGACCTATATAATCAACGTTATATAATACACGTCTGACCTACGTAATCAACGTTATATAATACACGTCTGACAAACTTAATCTACACGTCTGACATACTTAATCTACACGTCTGACAAACGTCTAACAAACTTAATCTACGTTACATAATACACGTCTGACAAACTTAATCTACGTTACATAATACACGTCTGACAAACTTAATCAACGTTATATAATACATGTCTGACAAACTTAATCAACGTTTTATAATACACGTCTGACAAACTTAATCAACGTTACATAATACACGTCTGACAAAGTTAATCAACGTTATATAATACACGTCTGACAAACTTAATCTACACGTCTGACAAACGTCTGACAAACTTAATCTACGTTACATAATACACGTCTGACAAACTTAATCAACGTTATATAATACACGTCTGACAAACTTAGTCTATACGTCTGACAAACGTCTGACAAACTTAATCTACGTTATAATCAACGTTATATAATACACGTCTGACATACTTAATCTACGCTATATAATACAAGTCTGACAAACTTAATCTATGTTATATAAAACACGTCTGACATACTTAATCAACGTTGTATAATACACGTCTGAAAAACTTAATAAACGTTATATAATACATGTCTGACAAACTTAATCAACATTATATAATACACGTCTGAGATACTTAATCAACGTTATATAATACACGTCTGACATACTTAAGGTAGATTCATGGTATACCGCCATCTTGGATTGTACAATCTCAGTACAAAATTGGTCTAGTTATTTGCCCAAATCTGCAAATTTGGAGACAGATTTGCAATTTAATGGTTAGATTGTTTATTTATATAAAGAAAACTTGGTGATTTATTGTATTATTCAAAATATTTCAACAAATATCAAGTTTTGTGTTTTTAGAATCATTTTTTTTCAAATAAGCCATTTAATGGGAGATAACTCTTTTAGTAAAAATATATACTGGACTGTAGCAAGAAAACAAGTTCGGTGACACCATTTTTTCTTTTTATTTTTTTTAAAACATATTATAAAACCTATCTTCTTACAATTTATTTCAAAATTCTATCTCATAGAATTTTTTTTATGCACACAAATGTGTTTTTTCATGAACAATCTAACCAAATTTAGGCAATTTTCAATGACTCATAGCTTGGAAAATAGCACGGTGACCCATACTTTTTATTATATTTTTGAAAAAAGCATAGTACAATCTTCTTTTTGGCAAAGTATAAGAAAATTCTATCTCAAAAAGTATATACTTATGATCTACCTTAATCAACGTTATGTAATACACGTCTGACAAACTTAATCAATGTTATATAATACACGTCTGATAAACTAAATCTTCACGTCTGACAAACTTAGTCAACGTTATATAATACATGTCTGACAAACTTAATCAGCATTATATAATACACGTCTGAGATACTTAATCAACGTTATATAATACACGTCTGATGACATACTTAATCAACGTAATATAATACACGTCTGACATACTTAATCAACGTTATATAATACACGTCTGACAAACTTAATCAACGTTATATAATACACGTCTGACAAACTTAATCAACGTTATATAATACACGTCTGACATACTTAATCAACGTTATATAATACACGTCTGACAAACTAAATCTTCACGTCTGACAAACTTAATCAACGTTATATAATACACGTCTGACATACTTAATCAACGTTATATAATACACGTCTGACAAACTAAATCTTCACGTCTGACAAACTTAATCAACGTTATATAATACACGTCTGACAAACTTAATCAACGTTATATAATACACGTCTGACATACTTAATCAACGTTATATAATACACGTCTGACATACTTAATCTACGTTATATAATATACGTCTGACAAACTTAATCAACGTTCTATAAAACTCGGCTGACAAACTTAATCAACGTTATATAATACATGTCTGACATACTTAATCTACACGTCTGACAAACTTAATCAACGTGATATAATACACGTCTGACATACTTAGTCAACGTTATATAATACACGTCTGACAAACTTAATCAACGTTATATAATACACGTCTGACAAACTTAATCAACGTTATATAATACACGTCTGACATAATTAATCAACGTTATATAATACACGTCTGACAAACTTTATCAACGTTATATAATACGCGTCTGACAAACTTAATCAACGTTATATAATACACGTCTGACAAACTTAATCAACGTTATATAATACACGTCTGACATAATTAATCAACGTTATATAATACAAGTCTGACAAACTTTATCAACGTTATATAATACACGTCTGACAAACTTAATCAACGTTATATAATACATGTCTGACATACTTAATCTACACGTCTGACAAACTTAATCAACGTGATATAATACACGTCTGACATACTTAGTCAACGTTATATAATACACGTCTGACAAACTTAATCAACGTTATATAGTACACGTCTGACAAACTTAATCAACGTTTTATAATACACGTCTGACATAATTAATCAACGTTATATAATACACGTCTGACAAACTTTATCAACGTTATATAATACGCGTCTGACAAACTTAATCAACGTTATATAATACACGTCTGACAAACTTAATCAACGTTATATAATACACGTCTGACAAACTTAATCAACGTTATATAATACACGTCTGACATAATTAATCAACGTTATATAATACACGTCTGACAAACTTTATCAACGTTATATAATACGCGTCTGACAAACTTAATCAACGTTATATAATACACGTCTGACATACTTAATCAACGTTATATGATACACGTCTGACATACTTAATCAACGTTATATAATACACGTCTGACATACTAAATCTACGTTATATAATATACGTCTGACAAACTTAATCAACGTTCTATAAAACACGTCTGACAAACTTAATCAACGTGATATAATACACGTCTGACATACTTAATCAACGTTATATAATACACGTCTGACAAAGTTAATCAACGTTATATAATACACGTCTGACATACTTAATCACTGTTATATAATACACGTCTGACATACTTAATCAACGTTATATAAATCACGTCTGACAAACTTAATCAACGTTATATAATACACGTCTGACATACCTAATTTAACGTTATATAATACACATCTGACATACTTAATCAACGTTATATAATACACATCTGACATACTTTATCAACGTTATATAATACACGTCTGACATACTTAAGCAACGTTATATAATACACGTCTGACATACTTAATCAACGTTGTACAATACACGTCTGACATACTTAATCTGCGTTATATAATACACTTAAGACAAACTTAATCAACGTTCTATAAAACACGTCTTACAAACTTAATCAACGTTATATAATACACGTCTGACATACTTAATCTACGTTACATAAATCACGTCTGACAAACTTAATCAACGTTATATAATACACGTCTGACATACTTAATCTACGTTACATAAATCACGTCTGACATACTTAATCTACGTTACATAATACACGTCTGACATACTTAATCTACGTTACATAAATCACGTCTGACATACTTAATCAACGTTACATAATACACGTCTGACATACTTAATCTACGTTACATAAATCACGTCTGACAAACTTAATCAACGTTATATAATACACGTCTGACATACTTAATCTACGTTACATAAATCACGTCTGACATACTTAATCTACGTTACATAATACACGTCTGACATACTTAATCTACGTTACATAATACACGTCTGACATACTTAATCTACGTTACATAAATCACGTCTGATATACTTAATCTACGTTACATAAATCACGTCTGACATACTTAATCTACGTTACATAATACACGTCTGACATACTTAATCTACGTTACATAAATCACGTCTGACATACTTAATCTACGTTACATAAATCACGTCTGACATACTTAATCTACGTTACATAAATCACGTCTGACATACTTAATCTACGTTACATAAATCACGTCTGACATACTTAATCTACGTTACATAAATCACGTCTGACATACTTAATCTACGTTACATAAATCACGTCTGACATACTTAATCTACGTTACATAAATCACGTCTGACATACTTAATCTACGTTACATAAATCACGTCTGACATACTTAATCTACGTTACATAAATCACGTCTGACATACTTAATCTACGTTACATAAATCACGTCTGACATACTTAATCTACGTTATATAAATCACGTCTGACATACTTAATCTACGTTACATAAATCACGTCTGACATACTTAATCTACGTTACATAAATCACGTCTGACATACTTAATCTACGTTACATAAATCACGTCTGACATACTTAATCAACGTTACATAAATCACGTCTGACATACTTAATCAACGTTACATAAATCACGTCTGACATACTTAATCTACGTTACATAAATCACGTCTGACATACTTAATCATAAGCAGCGTATCTTTGATGAGTTTAAACTTTAATGATATGAAAAAACAACTCATTTTCAAATTAGTTTTTTTTTATTAAATGGTTGATGTATTTTTCTTATATTGTCTATTTAGTTCTTATTTTGTTTTTAAATTTGTATTACATAGTAAAGGTGCATACATGATTTAATACTATTTTTACCATTTAGGTGGTACCAAGAAAAAGCCAGTCGATAGAAGATTATTGTCACCTTTATACCTCAAAATAGCCTCTCTAGCAAATACATACTCAGCAACAGACTTAGAGGTAAGGGAATACTAATTGTGTAACAGATGTTATGTACTTTTTCACATCTTCAACAATGTCATGGTCCAACTGTTTACACTTATATGGAAGATTTTTTAAATAAAAAATCCATTTTAAAACTAAAAAAAGCAGGGTTATTATACCCCCGCTTTAAAAAAGTTGGAGTATACTGTTTTACCTCTGTCTGTCCATCCGCAAGTCCATCCATCCGTCAGTCCGTCAGTCCATCCGTCAGTCCGTCCATCCGTTCCATGAATATTTTTCGTCACATTTTTCTCAGGAACTACAATACAAGGATTTCTGAAAATTTGTTTTCAGGGTTTATATAAGTCCGCTATACCGTGTGATGCGTTTTCAGATTCATCACTCAACAATTTCCTGTTTACCTTATACTTTTAGCGGGCGGGGGTATCATTAGTGAGCAGTAGAGCTCACAGATTCACTTGTTTTTTAAATGTTTTATTAATAGTTTTCATTTATCCTTTTTCATATTAGAAGTTTTTAATCGCTTTATTCCATCAAATAAAATCTGATGCCAATTTATGGGAGATTCACAATTTCCAGGAAACATGAGCATTTACTGTCATGTATCAATATTGTATCAAATACTTAAATTGAAAAAAAGGGATATTATGTATAAGTGGAATATTCTCTGTATGTGTCACTGTTTGCTCATACGTGTAATTTCAGATGCAGATAATGACAACGGGTGATTCAAAAGACGGCTCTGAAGAGAAGATTAACGGTACAATCAAAGAAAATGGTTCGCATGCTGAAAATGGAGAGAAAGCAACCATTATAGAAAGGATTCAAAACGGAGAGAAGACTGTAATTCTAGAAAGGAGCGAACACTTATAAATACAGTTGTAAAGGTACGAAAATAAATCCAAGGAAATTAAATAGTTTCATTATTAAAAAAAAACAAATCCCGAACTTTCCGTAGCACTTTGTTTTAAAATGTCAAAACCGGGACAATACTTTTAAACTTTAAATAATGTTTATCAAGCAGCTATATTAGTTACATGTATATGCATATTTTTTTTTCTGTATCATTTCAATGTTTCTGATTCCATAATCAGTAGGGAAAAGGCGTCACAGATGACACAAAATATAAAAATACATATATAAGATACACATGTAGGTGTCTATAGAATTCAGTAAAAAGTAAAATAACAAAAATACCGAACTTCAAGGAAAATTCAAAACGGAAAGTCCTTTATCAAATGGCAAAATAAAAAGCTCAAAAACATCAAACAAATGGAAAATAACTGTCATACTCCTAGGAGACTTGGTACAGGCATTTCCTTTTGTAGAAAATGGTAAGGACAGAAACATTAAGATATGACAAAACACAATTAATGTTGAGGTGTCTGAATTGAGTCAGGTACATGAGCTTGTTGGTTGGTTTAAGTTTTATTCTCAGCCAACAAACCCGAGGGCTCCAGAAGGATAATGTTATATATACACCAAACAAGCTTTCTATAAATATTGGGAAAACAAACAGTGTTTTATACAGTTGAAGAACTTGGAGGAATGATTTTCATTTTTGTGGAAATATTATTGTTTTGTTTCGGAAATGAACGTTACAGGCTAACTTGGTTGGTATTCATCCTTTTTATTAAAAGTTGCGGTGAGTTATCGTCCATGAGGGAAAAAAATGCACAGTCTGGCTTGAACTTTATATATTTTTGTGCAGTAATAATGTATAAGTTAGGGACATTTCAATATAGGACATTTCTGTAGTAGCACAATTGAAAAAGTTGATGTTTATGCATCGGGATTTAACAAAGGGATTTAATATCCATACTATACATTATTTTATGTCAAAATATTTTATTAGATTTTTTTAATCTCGAATGAAATGAGAATATATAAAAAGGGCAACAATAATCAGAAGTAGACGGCAACATATTATTTTGATAATTTATCAAAGAATTCGAATTTCGAAAAAATATTCATGTGACCGAACAACACATAATTTCACAAATGCATAGCATCTTCTATACTCTTACAAACAGTTAAATCATCTAAGACACTAGAAATCTTTTTTCATTATAGATTAAGCAGTCGTTGTTTAACAGAAGAACAGACGTGAACAAACAGGATGTTGACAGATATAGCTGTACTTTATGGAGATTGTCGGTTGATACAAGCGTCAGAGGCTTGCACTTTGTGATGAATATGAACATATTTTGTATGTTGTAACTGTGATTCGTATGTCATGTGCGTTATTTTAACATCTAATGTTTTAAAAGGATTTCTTTTTATTTTACAAAACTCACTTCAAGTGTATATGTCAGTGTAAATTCAGCTTGTTTACACAAAATGCAACGTTATTCATTCGTTTACTAGAACTTTACTTTGTAAATTCTATGATATATGTTCCGCTGAAAGAATGTTTCATAGTATTGCCTTTATCAAAAAGGTGTAATCCGTTCTTCCTGTTTGTAAAGTTCATACAAATACATTTTGTATTTTCCTCAAATGTACATATATAGTATATTTAACAGGTATGACTAAAAAAAAGATGTAGGTGTCTGCAGATTTCTACCATTGCCATTCGAAGAAACAAGTGTTGGATATGACGAACTTTCAATCTATAATGGATGAACAGCGGTGTAATTTGTTGTAAAGTCAAACGTTTTGAATATTGTAATATAACTGAACATAATGGCGAAATCTAATAAGTGTTGTTTTCATTGTAATTCTCTTTTTATACCAAATAATTTCGTTTATTAATCACGAAGAAAAGGAAAAAAAAAAAGATGTCCAGGAGTGTCAGGATTACCTACTTAGCACATTTTGTAAACAGTTTTGATAATGTACACATTATGGACAGACATTTCTTGAAATTTAACATTTATAAATTATTCAGTGCCAGTAATTTGTTTTAATAAGTTTTGTCTATAATTTATATGTAATATATGGGCAACATGTTTGCGCTGTAACTAAACAAATGTGAACTGTATATTATATAATTAGTCATTTTTATATAATGATTAAAAAATACTTTGTATCTACATACATGTAACACGTGTACAATTTAAACATTAAAGTGTTAAAATTCAAAAAAGCTACATTTTGAATGTGCCTTTCCCAAGTCAGAAGCCTGTAATTCAGTTAATGTCGTTTGTTGCTGCATATCACATTTGTTTGTCGTTTATTGTTTTGTTCATAAATCAGGTCGTTAGTTTTCTCGTTCTAATTGTTTTTCATTTGGCATGTTGGGGTCTTTTTTTTTTTGCTGTGCGGTATGTGTTTTGCTCATTGTTGAAGGCCGTATGGTGACATATAGTTGCTTACTTTTATGTCATTTGGTCTCTAGTGGAGAGTTGTCTCATTAGCAATTATACCACATCTTCTTATTTTTATAACAGCAGAAATGCATTCAAACAGGCTATCAAGGATTACACATAGAAAAATCGTTACTACTAATAACAACAAACACAAATGAGAAGTAGTATGACAACTCATGACAGTAAATTTTTACACACATCATTTGTTTCTGTAGGCTTCAGACCACAATTAATTCCCTTTGTTCGTGGTCTAGGAATATAGTTCCCAATTATTATATGGGGTATTTCTTCCTAAGTATTCTGACTACTGTTTTCTTTGAAATGTTTACTATTTAAGTGGTCCTATCAGCTGCATATATATTGAAATAAGTAAAACATGTGGAAAAAATTTATTGTTGAAAGTGAAAGTAGTGATTCGGCCAAAATGAAAGTAGGGTAGAAATTAGCCATCGTCATTTATTCAAGATTCAGATCCTACCTTTGGCATGTTAATATGGCTCTCAAAAGAAAAAGCACTGATGGATTGTCCTGGGACAAGCATATTTTATTCAAATAATAATGGTCTATTAGCAAGTAAATTTATTTCATGTTTGAAGCGGTGCAATTTTTTTAATTCAACTAGACTTTTACCAAAAAATGCATTGTAACCAATGGGAAGAATAATTGTGGTCTGAGGCCTGTAAGGGTGTTTGGAAGCATCCCCCCCCCCTCCTCAGAAATTTTTTAAAAATGAGAAGGAAAATCATGCAATTTGAGCACTGAGGATGAGCACTGACGAATAAAATTTGACTTTTTGGAATACATATTTTCTCCAGGATAATGAAAAAAGAAAGAAAGTGTTCAATGATAAATGATTTGGTCACAATTTTTGCGGAGAACAGGGATAAATGTGTTGGCTATCGATATATAAACCACTGTAAAGGATTAATTAAGACACGAGAAAGGGGCAAGATGAAGTTTTCCAGAATGCCATTCTGTGGTGTTGATAAGGGATTCTGGTAACATAAAACACACTGCAAGCTGGCAAAAAACAAAAATGTTACAAAAAATCACTAGTCTAACTACCGACACTATAATTTCCGATACTTCGAATAACGAGTAGGTGTATGCTTAGATCTCTGGGGGGGGGAGTCTCAACATGGGATTTTTGGTACAGTTGCGCAGCTGGGATTTAAAAAAAACTCCCCCATTCATATATTGAATAATTGTGAAATCCCTACCTATACATATATTTCACAGCGAATTCATAACCCAATCATATATTTATCAGCTCAAATAGTACATATATCCATATACAATCTTATTATATATTAAAAACACTTTTCAGTTATATAATATACTATAAGGTCGTTGCACAACAAACTGAAAAATTATGACCCATTAATTTGATATATCACAATTGGTCAATTACTTCCTATTGAATTATTTCCTCGGTAAAATTGCACCCCATTGATATATTTGACGTATCAAAAAAATGGACCCATCCAGGCGGCACATATGTATATACCTTCATATAGGAAGAGACCCCCCCCCCCCCCCCCCCCCCCTCCCCGTGGCTTAGATCGACAACGCGTACAACTTCTTGTTTTATTTGATGTTAAAGCAAACACCGAACAGATCCAACTGCAATAAATATGCCATCCGTCGTCCTTCAAATCATATTCTGTTGTAAAACAAACACCAATATATCCAAATATCCGCTTAAGCTGGCATCAGGATGGTGGTTTATGTTTTGGAATTAGCTTTTTATCGACAGTTTGTAGGATAACATGTCCTCTTTTTAACTTCTTGTTGCTGTATTTGTATGAAACATACTTCATACAGGAACTTCAGATGAAGACGTGGGAAACATACAAATGTTTTTAATTTTTTAAGCGATAGAGTTGCCATCGTTTCTTGGATACTCCAAAATTTCATGATTTGGATGATCGCATCTAAACTCTAAACTTGGAATAAAGGATACTACAAATTAATACCGCTACTTCCGCTTCAAACATTGATCTGCAATCAGAAATCAACTAGGATGGTAAGTTAGAAGTAAACTGTAAGTCAATTTTGCTTTCTTAACTAATATTCTTATGCAGCAATATTATTTAGCCAGCAGTAAATGTATATGAAGTACACATCTCAAAAGTTTTCAAAAACTGGCGTTTCCTGCCATTAAAGTTTCTTCTTGCAAGAAATGTACTGAACCATGTGCATTAGTTGTTGATATTTTAGTATTTGAGACATCTATCGAATGTTTTGTGGTCGGCATTTTCACTTACTTGGAAGTCTAACAGATCGTAACAGGTAAATACGTTATAAAAAAAAATCACTAAATTACTTTGTACGTCCGAAGCGTTTGTTTTTTTTTTATTTATCTCCATCAGGAACACTAAGAAACCAAACATTTGAAAACCAGTTATGTATAACGTGAGAGGCTTTATGACCAAAAGGGACCGGAAAAGAACAGCCGAATTCTTTTAATTCATGTCAACTTTGCCTGAGGAAGTTGGAACCTTAGTTTTCAAATAATTTATTGATTTACCTTAAAATCTCAATAGAAATAGGAAGATGGAATAGAATTCCTAGAGATGAAAGACAGTGTCATCGCTGCTCATTGCCAATTGGAAATGAGTTTCACTGTCTATTTGATTGGCAGTCCGTTATTGTTTAAAATAAAAGAAATAAGCATATTTCAGAAATGTGTCGAGATAATGAAAAGGCTGTTTTCATTTTGCAATATTAAAGTTATGAAGAACTAATCACTTTTCATTAATAGAATTTAAGTCCTGTACGTAAATTCAGTTATCACGGTGCGCTGTACCATATATGTTTTGATGGTAATTAGTGAGTTTAACTATACCGAATCTCATTGGTGGTTATTGAACCTTAAAATCTGACGTCACGAGCCTTTTTGAATTTGGATCCAGGGAGGAAGGCAGAAGACAATTCAGCTAAAATATAAAACCAAAAAATTTGAAAATTTTTAATATTGTCAGGGAGTATTTAGAATTATTTAAACCTTTGAAGTTATATTTGGTGGTTTTCAAGAGAGGTGTTTCGTCATAAAGGGACGTCAATTATGAATTACTTTTTAACGAATGCTGACTGCAATACAAAAGCACATGGCGACTACATGGAAAAACAATCATTTCTCGAAGTTTTTTTACCGACTTAATTCATTTGACTATTGCCAGTATTGGGTTTTATTTATAGATTGGGCATCCTTTCGATGAACTATAGTTCCACACTTCTTAGTCATCAGAAGTATTTCGACCATGCTTCTGCATCATCGATATTTAATAGTTTTGCTGGTAAGCTGTTCCCAGCCTTTGACGATACGAGGAAACAATCTGTATTTGTGTGTGTTGGTTGATGCTAGATTTTTGAATTGATACATTGGTTGCCTTGTTCTAATGATCTACATTATCTGGCATATTTATGGCTATTTAATGAGGTTATAGTATTTATAGTGCTTTATGAAACAGGCAAAGATTTTTTATTTTTACGTCTGGTTTCTAATGACTATTTTTATTTCCTAAAGTATGGTAGTGATTGATACAGGTTCTGTTCTGTATTAATGCGTAGCAACTTTTCACTATTTCTATCTTTATTATGAGATTTTCCTGGTATGGTTTTTTGGATCCTAAACACTTCTGGCATTTACTACATTTGATCTTGCAATAACTTCAAACTTGGTATGCTTTATTTTCCTTTTTTTCTGGGAATTTATTGATATTTCTTCCCAGGAAGCCTAATGATTTATTTGCTTTAGCTACGATGTTATTGGTGTATATATCCCGTGTCGGGTTGATGGTGAACGGAAATCACATAAAAGGGGTTTGGTCTATCGGTAAAACAATTGATCTTAAATACAGATATATAACCAGATTCAATTGTTCCTATTAACTTATTGCATTATCCGAATAAGTAAGAACGAAAGAAGTAAATAGCAGCAAGATTTCCATAATCTAGTCCCTTGTACGACTGCATCATTGGTGATAGTTTGAGTGGAAATTTAACATCATTGTTCATTTTAGATTTTACTTAGTTTTAAATTTCTCCAACTTGTGTGAGGATTTTGGATTAGGTTCTCACCTTCTGTGCTAAATAATGAGTTTAGCAGTTTACAATATCACATTAGGTTGCAAGACTCCATACGTTAACGAATTTTACAGTTTTTATCATTTATGGCATCCATAAAATATTTTGCTTTTGTTAGCAGATTAATGTTTCCTTTGTTTTGTTTAAGCATTCATTAGTAGTTATTCAAATATGGGTGTTATTGACTAAGGATATAATACAGAGTTTGTATGTGTATGCATTCAATTCATTGCACAAAACATTGTTTTGAATAAACAACCGGTCACAGCCTAAATAAATAATTAAATTAACTTATATTTATTTTAGTTTAATACAATAGATGTTTAGTTTTGGTGTTTGTGTTGTATCTATTGCAATGAACTAAAATTGAGAATGGAAATGGGGAATGTGTCAAAGAGACCACAACCCGATCATCAAGATGTTCAACCCAGGATTGAAAAGTTACTACTGGGCTTATATAGATTTCAATAGGCCAACTAAATGTGCTTTAAAAAAATATAATAAATGAGAAACAAGCCCGTGGATGCAACATTTAGTTGTGAGGATGACAAACATCATAAAGAGATGATTTTTGTTTTATCTAATTCTTATTTACGGATGATTTGTCATTATTGATTATTATCAAATTTTACATTGATAATTTGTTTCATGATATCATTGTATGTAAATGTAT